AGGTCCCTCTGGATGACATCTTGTCCTCCTGGCATGTCAGCCGCACCGCTCAGCTTGGTGTCCTCTGCAAACTTGCTGAGGGTCTGCTCCATCCCACTGCCTGTGTCATTGATGAAGATGTTAAACAGCACCGGTCCCAGTATGGACCCTGAGGGACTCCACTTGTCACCGATCTCCATGTAGACATGGAGCCATTGACCACGACCCTCTGGATGCAACCATCCAGCCAATTACTTATCCACCGAACTCAAACCCATATCTCCCCAGTTCAGAGAAGGATGTTATGGGGGACTGTGTCGAAGGCTTTACAGAAATCCAAGTAGATGACATCCATTGCTTTTCCCTTGTCCACTGATGCAGTCACTCCTTCATAGAAAGCCACTAGGTTGGTCAGGCAGGACTGGCCCTTGCTGAATCTGTGCTGGCTGTCTTGAAGCACCCCTCTGTCTTCCATGTGCTTGAGCATATCTTCTAGGAGGATCTGTTCCATGATCTTCCCAGGCACAGAGGTGAGGCTGACAGGTCGGTAGTTCCCAGGGGCCTCCTTTCTTCCTTTTTTGAAAATGGGCACAACATTCCCCTTCTTCCAGTCAGCAGGGACTTCACCTTACTGCTGTGACTTTTCAAGTATCATGGAGAGTGGCTGGGCAACTACATCAGCCAGCTCCCTCAGGGCTCGGCTGATGTAGTTGCCAAGCCACTGTTAGTCCACTGTTAGCAAAGTATAAGGGTCTTGATAGGCTGGCATCAGCTGCCTTCCTCCCACTTCACGGCAAACCGGCCTCTTTGTAGCTGTCTGCTTACTAGCAGCAAGCAAATCTCATGAATGTGTAGCAAATTAATTTCCTGCTAATATGGTGATAGTGGTGAGTAGATTACAACACAGTAACTTCTATATACATTACTTGGCACTTCAACAAGAAACGGCAACTGTCCTGGAGGATTCATGAACTGCAATTTCGGAGATAAAATAATGAAGGGATAGTGATAACAGGGAGAACATGAAAATATTTTAATCACTTTGCAAATGCTGGTTCACAGCGTCAATTAATGACTGTATCCCTTGAAATAACTGTTTAATTAGGCGTGTTTATAGATTACGTAACTAAAGGTTCCTGTAAATATTATGAAGTAGTGAAATTTTTCAGAAGTTTCAGGTTTATATGTTGACCACTAACATGTTTACATGTGAAATGATCGCTTAGAAGAATTTGCTTCTAAGATGACTTATAGAGGAAAATTTAATTGCCGTGTAGCGCAAAGCAGTGAGCATATGATGAGGGACAGGAAGTTCTTGAGTTCCAATTCTAACACTGCTAAGAAACATTCTGTCATGTCACTATTCCTCTGCTATAATTCTGTATCTAGAAAGTGCTTGTCTCTAGTTCAAAACTTCGTATACTGCTGTAATGAGTATTTTACTGCTTATAACAAGGTAGCAATGTGTAAATATCTTTCAGGTTATCTTGAACATGAGGACAAATACACTGTGTTGGAACCCCATGGAAGCTTTTGTTTTTACTGCAGCAAATGAAGATTACAAGTAAGTGTGACCTTGTTTTTTGATGATCCTGATCAAGCTATGTTTTTAATCTGTATCTTGGTGATTTATCATCATGCTAAAAGAAATTTTTAAAAAACTACTTTAAATTTGAATCACTTAAGTAATAACCTAGAGAATTATAGGCTCACTGATTTAAAAAAAAAAAATTAATTGATACTAGACTGCCTCTTTCTTTGTATTTCAGTACCTGGGGGGAAAAATGCAATGTAATATAGAAGATAATGCAGCTGAACCAATGCAAGTGTAACTTGCAACGGGACCTGGAAAATAAATACCGTTGGTCCAGTCTGAGGCAATATAAGTGTTTATTTTCTTGCTAGCTCTTGTGAAGCTTGATATATTGTACTGATCAGCTATTTTGATGAGAACATTTCTTAAAAAAAAAAAAAAAAAAAAAAAATTAGTCTTTCGTGAAACAGTTCCAGAGGCTGCAATACTTATCCTTTCAATGTCTCAGAGCAGTTTTTTTTACTTTTGAACAATACTATTCATGTGAACAGCTAATCTGATATTAAAAAAGCTGTCTCTTCAAAACTAGGCCACTGCAAAATGTGCTCCATATCCTTTTTTCCAGGAAGTCAGTGATCTAACAATAGATCGCTGTTTTCTTCTAGAACATAGGAATTTTATCACTTATCTTAAAGCTGTTTTTCCAAGGAAATGGAATCTGGCTCAGACCTTAAAAGTGGGTGTTGTATCCAATGTACTGCTTTTCACCTATTTTGGTTATGGTATGGAAAGGCTACCAGGCTACCTAATCTGTTTGTTTCTACATCCCCACTCCTCCCCGCCCCTGCCCCCCTTGGTAAACCAAATATGGTAGCTGTAACTGTCAGGGGCAACTGTCCACTTGCAAACTAAAGCCATGAGTATCAGTGCAATGGCAAATGCATGTATCAATGTGTTAGCTGATTATATGGAGTAGTGGTTTTGAATATGATGCTAGCATGCTTTTTCTTGGGGAATTTAGAAGGAAAAAGCAATAGTTGCCAGTAAACTATTGAATAAAGAGACATTGAATTAATTTCAGTTATGCATTTATCTGCAGCAAGAAGGGTGAGAAACCTGCTAAATTACAAATTTTAAATATTGTAGTTCTACTAAATAGTGTATCTTAAGTAGGTTTCATGAAATGCTTTGTCTGTAAAGCACCTTTGCTCATTGGCACTAGGCAAATTAATGATCTGCTCAGTTATTATGCCTTGCTATGTGTCAGTGGGCTTCTTGATTCGTGGAGGGTACGGGTAGACCTCACCTGAGCTTTGAAGTGCTGAAGGGCAAGCCAGCTGTGATCCAGCAGCTCTGTGTTTATTTTTAATGTAATGCTTTTCTACAGATGGTGTGCTCTGCTGAACTAGTATCTCCATGTATTGAAGGACCAAGCTTTCCTTGGACTTCTACATTGTCTGACCTAAAGACAATTAGGTGGTAGGAAAGGGTGCCAACCAAATGGGAACTTCACAGTAGACTCTAAGATACTAGGAGTTCCCAGTACGGGAATATCTAGAAACTTGCAGAGTTGATAGGCTTGCCATAATGATTCAGAGATGCGTGTTCAAGCTCAGGTTATATACTTCTATCTGAAGATAGAGTAAAGGAGGACAGTGTGGTGGTTGGAGCAATAGGTTTTGTCAGTGACCCATGAACAGATGATGGAGGGAATAGTGGAGACTATCTGTTCTTTGACAGAGAGCCAGAAACCTAGGTCTGATCCAATAACTAAAGCCTCTGGTTAATAAACTTTTTTCAAGCCCTAAACAACGCATAATTCTTTCTTTTCATGTGTTATAAGCAGTTTTAAAGAGTTCCCCCTGCAATATGGATCTATCCTGAAGTGTGGTTTATGTATGATTAAAGTAGCTGTTCAGCAAAAACGTACTATTTACTTAGGAGCTGTTAAGATATTAAGCTGTTGGTGTATTTATTTTAAAGCTTATATACTTTCGATATGCGCTTTCTTGAATCACCTGTGATGGTGCATATGGATCATGTGTCTGCTGTTCTTGATGTGGATTATTCACCCACTGGGAAAGAATTTGTCTCTGCCAGCTTTGATAAGTCTGTCCGCATTTTTCCTGTAGACAAAGGTCACAGCAGGTGAGTGATTTTACACCTTTCTCTCTTGCCGTCATTCATTCCAGTGACCTCCCTCCCTAGTCCTCAAAATTCTTAATGAATGAATTAACATCTTCATTGGGGCATTCACTTCTTGTGAATATTGAAATCTTACTCTGTATATAACTTGAGATTGACAGGTGTAGTCGACAGATGATTCTCAAGTATGTGTTAGAGTAGAACTTCTACTTAACGCATAGCAGTACTTAGGCAGTTTCGGATTAAAATTATAGTGGATTATTGTTCTTGGGTGTACTCATTTATATTTTACCAAGATGAATCCCATGTTATTTCCCTCTGTATCTATCTTTTATCTATGTTTTTAGGTCATTTTGTACTGTATCTGTCACCACTTAAATCTGCAGTGTCTTACAACATTGTAGCATTTGGTTTTCTAGGGACTGTCTTCATCCTATACGGACGATTGTTTAAGATATTACATGAAAAGCATTGTATGAATTCCTGAGAATCAGTTTGGGACACTTCTGTGATCTGTTTCAGTATGCTTATTATGTTTTGTTCATATTTTGTTAACCAGGTTTTGATTCATGTCACAATACTTTGAATTAGTTTTTCATGTAAGATTTCATAACGCAGTGTATTAAATATTTTGCTGAAGTTCAGATTGGATCTACTGTGTCTCCATTATTATTATTTTTTTTTCAGTTTGATGAAAATTGAAGCAAGTTATCAGATCTGTCTGGTATCGTTTGTTTTTCATAAACCTACCTTCATTATTCTCTGTTGTCAGTTCTTCCTCTTCTTTCTTTATCCTTTATTTTACTTCTAGTTACCTTCCTCTCTCCAACCTCAACCCCCCAAAAGTTGCTGCTAGGTCAAGTTCTAGGTGATTTGGAGATGTTGAAATATTTATTGGGGAGGAGTATATTTTTATTATTAATTGGTGCAGTTATGTATGCATTATTCAACGTAACTTTGTATGCTCCCATACTGTATTCAAGATTAAGAAGGGCTGTTTACATTTTCCTTTATATCTCATCTTCAGATAGTTTTAATTTTCTTCCTGTCTTGCAATAATATTTTAAATGTTATTAGGTATTGCAGTTTGTTTGGGTTTTTTTTAAAATTCTTTTATTATTAAACAATATGGTTAGCAGCTCCTGTGTTCTACAGATTTTCATTTCTATGGAATAGTAATGTTCACAAAAGCAGTGATGTGCAAAGTTGAAGCACATCATTAAGGGGAAGTTTGCAGACACCATAATGCAACAGTAAAAGGCTTTTTTCCACATTATAGCAGATTGTTGCCAAGGCCTGTGGAAGGAATTTTCCTCTTTGTCCCCCTTTTTTTCCCCATTCTGTGTGGTGGCCATAAATCTAGCAAGGAAAAGCCTTATGAATGATGAACTTAGCCTCATATAAGCTGACTAGGGCATTCTGGGACACTTAAAGTTCTTTAGAAGCTGGGTTTTTTCTGAATTGCACAGTTGAAGTTAATCCAATGGAATGGAGAAAAGCCTCTAAATGGAAGATCTGATCTCACTTGGAAAACTGAGAGGGCAGTTAAGAGTATCTGTAAACAAGGATCCTGATGGTGTTCCAGTTTTGACTTTAGATCTCCCACCAATCTGAAAAACTCCTAACTTCCATTTCTTTCTATTTTATTTTAAAATGAAAATTTTATTTAGGAAATTGAATAAGAAGATGTATTATGAAGTTGCTTAAATTTAGTAAATTCTTGGTAAACAGAACCGGATGTCTGTGAATTTTTTAAATGACAGATCCAGGTTATTTGGCCATGTTTTTTGTGTTTTTCCTTTCCCTGAGAATGATATTTAATAACTCGTGGTTACAACAGGAGAGGCAAAGGCTGAAAATTCAGAGTAAGGAAAGGAAAAGTACTTAGTTCCCCAAAGGTGGGTGAAGAAGAGTTTTGTTATTGAGCCAAATAGTAAAATGAAAGTAAACATAGAAACGCTTACGAAAACATGTACATGCACACTCACTATTAAACGTCAACATCAGTAAAAAGCTGATGTGAGTATTAATGTTTTCTGAAGGTACTCGTGCTCAGTCTTCCACATGGTTGTTCTTGTAGAGTGTCAACTTGAGTGTGAATTACAAGAGGTGGTTAAGCTTATTAAAGCTTATTTAAGGTGATGTGTTGATTACTTTTGTTTTTCTCATAACCCCTCCAGCTCAGCCCCAGTCTAGTTTTTCCACGGCTCTTGAATAGGTGTTGTTCCCATATTTCCTTTCTTCTATTACTTGGATTTTACTTGTAAAAATAACTGGGTAGAAGAAAGAGAATGGTCTATAAGGTGCAGTGCATGACTGATATACCAAAGGAGCAGGTATTAGTGGACAATAAGTAGGCGTTACTTATTCTTCACCTTTAGAATGCTAGTAAATAATTAAAATTACCAGAAAAGTGTACTTAGTCCTATATTTTTATAGCAGAAATAAAATAATAACTTTATGAATAATATTGTTCTGCTTGTTTGGTACATACTTAATGGAAATTAGATAAGAGTTTCATTTAAATATTGGTTTAAATGTAACATGCAGAAACATTTTTCAACAGGTGCCAGCACTTGTTTAGCAGGAGTCTGGTCAGCGCAAATTAAGTGTAGTTTATGCTTTAGTAGCCACACAGCTGTTCTGAATCCTTTTTCACTTGCTGATATTTCTTGTTCAGTTCTTGTTTGCAGGACTGGAGGCTTTTCTTTGAGTTTTCAGGGTTCTAAAATTTTTCCTTTTAGACAATGATAAGGAAGTCCATTTTTGGGAAAAGGGGGGAAATCACAATGAAGAGCAGCCAATCCATTGCCATGTCATAAGTGGACAGCTGGAGGTGTCTATTTACTGTTCTCTTTCTTGTTCATAATGGTGGTGTCAGACTCTTTGGCACCTATTTTTCTGCAGTCCCATCCTGTAATGCTTGACCGGTGTAACAGTGTACTAATGAAAATTATTTCAGGAACAGTATGCTTATCATATTGTATACCTGTGGCATGTTTTGCAAAAAGAGTTAATCTTTAGCTATTTACTGTAATTTCTATGAAAGCACTTATTTAAAAAGCATCATATCCTAGGTGGTCCTTTTATCACTCTAACCATCACACTTTATTTGAATCTCTCTCTCTATAGATTTAAGATCAGCACAGTGTTTAAAAAAAAAAAAGTTTTTTTTTAAAAACAACAAAATGTAAAAAATAAATTTTGCCTTAAACGGAATGCTTTCTGCTATTTGAAAGGTAACATTGGTAGGAAAAGTGATGATAGATCATTGAAAAATGTTTCTCTTTGCTTTAGGGAGGTATATCATACAAAACGAATGCAGCACGTCATCACTGTAAAATGGACTTCAGATAACAAATATATTCTGTGTGGCTCAGATGAGATGAATATTCGTCTGTGGAAAGCTAATGCTTCTGAAAAACTGGGAGTGGTAAGAGTTGCATTTTGGTTTTTGTTATCACAAGACAAGATGTTTGGGTTTTTTTGCTGTTGTTACAACTGGTTAGCCTACTCAACTTCTAAAAACTTGTTTCTAAAGGGAAAATGTAAAATTGTAGTTTGACTTTTGTATTTAGTTTGAAAACTGACATGCGCATTATAGCTCATTGCATTTACTGCAGCTTATAGTAATGATAAAATTGCATACTTCATTGCTATGCAAGGTGACTTTTTTTTTGGTCTTGTTTAATGTTAATAGTAATCATCAGTTCTAACTAAACTAGATTGATGTTTTTTACATGGCTGCTACAGGGGAGAATTCATCCCTTTGCACTAGAGAAAAAGCAATAAATTCTGGTTTCCCATACATAAGTCATTCTACTGAAGCTTAGGGTTACTACTCTTAAAAAAATTTGACTGGCATGCGACTGGTTCATGTGCAGTTCATACTGTGATAAGCATATGCATTGTAAAATAGACCATTTGCACGAGTGCATAACTGAGAATGTCATTAACCTATATAACTCAGATATCAAGTGGGCAAACTAGTGAAGTCCATTTAATTCAATGTAAGGCAGTTTGGTTGAAGTGCTCCTAGGAAGAGACATCAGCCTAATTAGATATGTGTCTTTTCAGTTAACGCTTGTTCAAATGTTTATGTATAGACAAAGCCAAAATGTTCTATTACAGTTACCACTTGCATATATTCATCGGCATAGTTGTATTAAAGTATTGAATGACTTTGGAGAATGAATTTGACACTTTGTCCGCTGGGAGTAATCCCTTTACGTAGCTTTATATTGTTATGGTATTTTGGAGGTGCTTACATTGCTTTTTCTGAGCCCATCAGCATAGCTGTCAAATAATGCTTGGGGGAATTTCTGCTTGATCTTGTGAAAGATTGAGAGGGGAGGAAAGGGAAGCTGTAATTCAGGGAAGAATATTGTACAGTTAAGGGGATGGATCTATTGCATAGTTATGTCTAGGGCTGCTTGTGGTTACCTGAAGTTCCATCAAATTATAGTATCTGCATAGGATGGAAGTGGAACAGGGCTGGGAGAGGTGACAGGTGAATGGCAGTGGTAGGAGTACTTAGGAATACAATGCGGAATGGGATAATTCATGGACTGTTATGCACTGTGAAGCACTGGATATGAAGTAGCACAGCTAAAACAACATGTGTATCTTTAGCCATGGCCCACTGTAGGTATTTGGAAGTCCTGTTATTTTTCTCATCTTTGCTATAGAGCTGTAGATAAAAACCCCCACAACTTTGTAGCCTGTACAGTATTTGTGGTTACAAACTACTATTGAAGTTGAATTTCTTTAATGAATAACTCTTCTTTTTTGTTGAGGATGCTTTTTCTTTCCCCCCCTGTTCTGAATTGATTCTTAGGATTTTCCCATGTAGTGCTTCAGTCAAACATTTAAATATCAGTCCCATACTTGCTAATTCCAAGGACTTTGCAAAGCTCATTATAGACTTTACTGTTTGATTTAACTTTTATGTTGAATTTGCTTAGTGCAGTGTTGGGCAGAAATGTTACCTGTTTTCCTATTGTTGTATCCATGTGCTTATGCCTTGGGTTTACAGTATTAACTGAAATCTTCTCTCTTTATTAGCTATATTCTTAGTGAGAGAGCATGCTGTCTCTCTGTAAGATGTTGTTCTATAACAGAATTGTCTGGTATTTTTGACATGCATCTTTACTCTGTGCCCTTTGTGTGAAGGGCAAGTGGGTAAAAAGAATGTTGAAAACAACATTTTCATTCAGAATGATTCCTAGTATTTTCAGGTGTGAACAGAAAATTCACTTGACTACTAGATGGCATTGGCTCCTTTTCTTGTGAAAGAGTAAGGATACTTGGCTCTGGGAATTAATAGACAAAACCAACTACTCCTGCATCATAGAAATATTATGTACCAAAAGGACAATTTAGCTATTGTTTAAGTATTCAAAATATAGAGTGGTAAATAACATTTTGCTATTTTCTGTAGTAGTTGCATCAGTGAAAACTGTCCATGGATGGGCCTAAAAAAGGCACTATCAATTATGACTATCAAGTATTGGATACAGTCTGCACATTAATAATCTCGTGTTCCTTTACCTGACAGTGAAGCCTACATAAAATAGCCTGTCCCTTCCCCGCCCCCTCCCCGTTTGTAAGTACAGCGTTGCTGTTTGACATGCCCCTTGGAGGATGCACATACGATTCAGTTCTGCTGTTGTGGGATCATATAAATACAGCTTTTGTAGCATGCATGCATGTAAGGATTTGTAAGCATTTCTGTCAAAGCTCTTTGGCTGTCAGGTCCCAAGAGAGCTAAGTCAATAGCTAGCTATAAAACACAGGTCAAGTGGCATGTGTGGGGTTTTTTTCTGTTTGTTGGTTTGGTTTGGATTTTTTTTTTTATTATCAGAAATGAAAGTCATCCCATCATTTAGAATACAAAACTTGTCATCCTGTCTTAAAAAAAAAAAAAACCACCTTGCAACATCAAAAGACATCTTAAGAAAGCAAAATTATTTAGAAATACAGGAAGAACTTACCAGGGACATAGTGGATTGTGTAGGAAAACTGCTCTCATTTCACATGGATGATGCTAACGCACTTGTAAAGAATTATGTTATAATAAGATATAATGTTTCACATCCCCATATCTTGTGTGGAAATGTGTTCAAGCATGATGCTGTTGAAGCCTTGAATTTAGCAAGACACAGAATTTGGATATTAAATTAGTAACTGTCCAAAGCTGCTATAGTTGTTGTTAATTTTTTGGTTTTTTAGAAGCACTATGAAATTTTATTGTTCAGATGTTTAGAGAGTTAATTGTTGCTAATAGGACTTACGAGTGGAATCTTTATGGCTTATCACATTCTTGGTTATACCTTGGAAATGTTGCTTGGATTCAGGCAACTGTGCCAGTCCTTGTTTGATCCAACCTGGTAGCTCCTGGGATTCTTAATGTTGCAACTCTTAATGGCTATTTATCAGGTTCTACTGTTTTTCTTTAGTACCTGCTCTTTCTTTTTTAGAGAATTGGTGTTCTTATCTTCATAGACATATGCTTGCTCATTTTATAAATGTCCAGCTCTTCCATAGTCTGTGGCTATTTTTTGAATATTTTGAATGTTCAAAGCTGAATATTCAGTAATTGTCGGAAGTGTCAGAATATGTCTTAAATGCTTAGTTGCTTAGTCCGCTGTTTTTCTTTGCTGAGAAGATTTGATTGAATGACTCATCCAAAGGCCACTGTATTTCTGATATAATGCTACCATCTTGTAATACATTGTATTTTAAGATGGGTATTTTTGGGGTGGGGGTGGATGGAAACCAGCATCCTGAAAGAGAAAGTAAAATGGTAATCAAGCATTTTTTTTCTTTGGTGAAGTACTTGGTCTTCCTTGGTTTTAGTGTTGCTGGGTACCAAGGAAGTTACAGTGAATATGAATATGAATATGCTTATGTTGTGACTGATAAACATTTATCCAGTTGGAAAGTTGTACTTTCTGAACCGTGGCTACCCTAGCAGTCATCAGTTCTGACATGCATGTTTCTTTTGGTTTTTAATGTATTTGGCATTGCACTCATTATTCAAAATCAGTGAAACATTAAAGTAAGAATAAAAGTCTCTGGAGGAGCCAGAGGCGTGCTGTGTCTCCACTCCACTGACGATTAAGTCTTCATGGGTTTTACACAGGGGTAACAAAACCCAAATGTCTCTGTTAGTACTACTGCAGAAGTTGCTTTAAAATAATTTGCAATGTTTAGGTTTTTTAATAAAAGTTGATTAAATAATAAATATTTATTATTAAATAGGACTTAACAGGTGTTATTTTTAAAGCAGTAAACATCTAGCTCTGCATGTCCAGAAGCAAAAGACACAATTATACAAGACTTTTGAGATACTCCAGACTGTTCAAATACTATACATAAAATATGACACATTAAGTACGTTTGAGGCTTTTGTACCTGTGCTCTTGGAGAGGTTTGGGATTTCTGAAAAGTTAAATGACTTGGCTTTTGAGGAAAAGAGGAAAACAGAGCCTTGTCTGAGTGAAAAGGCTGGAAAAGCAGCAGTAATAGAGTAGATTTCAGTAGAATTAATATAATTAATACAAAGAAATGGATAGATTGGGTTTTTTTTAATTGTAGTGAAAGCAATGAACCATCAGTAAAACTTCAGAAAGCTGTATTGTTCTTCAATCTATTGATACATTATTAAAAAATCTACTCCTGCACTTCTGAGGAGTGTAAATGCTTAGTAACATTACTTCTGTGAGTAACAGCTGCAAAATTTGTCTCTGTTACATTTCCAAAGTAGTTAGGAATTAGAACAAAGCACTGGACAATTGAAGAAGAAAACTTTCCTGCTTGGGAATGATTTGGTTTTCAGTATGTGTAAAACTAGTGTGAGGAGTGGATGTAACAGTAGTGGAGCATAGGTTTGCTGCTTTCTTACCAGATGCAGCAATAACAGCTTTTGAGGAAGGACTGAAAAAGATAGGAGGAAGTGCAGTTACAAGTCTTGGTTTTGATCTAGCAAAGTGCATTAGCAGGAGTGCATCAGAACTGTCTAAGTAATTGTATATCCTTTCAGTCTGCTTCTAGTATACAGTTCCATTTTGTGAGATAAGGCTGATAACAAGCAGTACCAGATATTGCGTGACACGGCATTCTTTTTGTAGTGGTTTGGGGTTTGTGATTGAACGCACATGTAACTTCATGCCTTTAGCTATGATTTTGTGCTCTTAACATCTACATTACCTTTCTTTTTTATTGTCCGTTGAGATGTAAAGAAGCCGTAAGTTTTTGGTCCAAAAAAACAATGAGTAATAAACTTTACGGCAATAAATTTAGAAAGGTGTTTTCAGCAGAGCAATGGAAAAAAAATTAAAGACAGACAAGCTGTGGTGTAGAAAATTGCTGGGATACGTTTGCATTCTAAAAATATGTTGCACCTGTGCTCTGTCTGCCCTAACCTAGAAGGGCAACCTGGTCAGGATAGATAAACAGGTATTTCATATTCTCATGCTGAATTACAGGAGTCTAATAGTGTGACGTTTTAAATACTGCACAGTACAAATACAGCCCTCTTTAAAAGGAGAATTTTTTGTTAAAGGTGGTTTTAGCTCTTCAGTCAGGGCTCTGGAAAAATGCTTACTCTCCTTCTGCTTACATGGGAAAAATAACCAGCCTCTGTCATCTGTAGGGTGGAAAGAGGCATAGGTAGTTTACTCGAGAACACATTTTCCTGTTGCTGACAACTTTATTGCATTTTAGACTTCTTATTCCCACTTTTTCACTCTAGATATTTGCTGTGAAGTACTATGTGCAGTAATGGCACAAATTGGCTGTCTTTCTGCCACATAATTTCCGTTTTCCTCATACAGAAAGGAAGTTGCACATTCACTTTTGGAATGTGTGAAAAAAGGGTCATACGTCATCTTTGAGCATGTCTTCCACTCATGATGCCACAGAAATCCTAATTTCTTACATTGTAGAGTGTTCTAGTCCCTACAAACAAAATCTCTAATCCTGCTAAATCGTGCTACATTTACAGGATCTTCTCCGGCTGAAAGCGGAATGGGAAGTAATGCTGTTCTCTTCAGCTGTATACGTTGACCTTTGTAAAATGACTTGCAAGAGAGAGATTGGAATTCAGTCCATTATTGCAGTCTGCTTTCTTAGCTCTCTGCTGTCTCTCATAAATAGACAGAAACTTGTCATTACTGCAGAATTTTCTTTTACCATCATGTAGATGTGGGTGCACTTAGCACAGCCTGGTATATGGGGTGCTGGCATTCAGTAGTTGGATGGAAAGTCACCAGCTGTGTGCCTTTCTATATACCACATTACACATAAAAATGGAAGCAGACTCACACATAACCACCGCTTAATCTATATTAATTTTTTAAATAAGATATCCTGGATGTATCTTTAATTTACAGATTCACCTCTTGTCTGTAGAATCATCAAGGTTATACTAAATCAGCAGCAATTTGCTCTTCTTAAATTAAAGGAAAATCCTTGAATTTAATTAAAATAAAAGCTCTTTAATTTGGATTATGTTGGCAGTTTTCTGCAGAGTGGGAACACCTGGGATTTATTGAGAGCGAACCAGCTATTCAGGCTGGCTCACTAGAAGGAATTTCAGTAAAGGGTGGTGGTGGGGGCAGTTTTAGCGGGTTAAGACTGTAAAATTTACTTGCAATTTGAGAGGTCATGATAAATGTAAGTAAAGCAGAAGGATTTGTTTTTACGAAATGAAAGAAGGTGTGGAGAAACAGAGATTAAGAGTTATTATGTGTGTCTGATGCCTGAATAAGAATTTTCTGAGTGATGAGCAACTCTGCATCTGGTACCTGGTTTCTTTATTGTCCCAAAGGAGAAACTCCTTTGCCGTGTGTTTTATTAATACTTGCTTTCAGACCATTAATGGTATTTTGGACCAAAATTATCTGAGTATAATATTTATTTTTTTCAGAATTTATGAAATATTCTAACAGAAGTCACTTCTAAAAGTGACCTCCAGAGTGGAGAAGAAACAGCCAATTGCTGATTTCAAAGGGGAACAAAGCATGTTTCATAATAATGGAGGTGGAATTTCCAAATTTTTGAGTGTGTAATAACGTTGTTGGTTTTGTTATTGCTTTTTTTTTGTTAGTGTCTGAAACTCAGGTTCACTTTTCTTAGTTTCTCAAGATAAAATTAGTGAAACTGAGTCAGTTGCAAAGCTGAATAAATAGAAGTTGTCTGAACTATTGTTTTGCTTTTAATACTTTAGGTGCAGTTAGTAGTGGATGAAATAAATGTAGGAGGGCAAAAGACTTGTGCCGCTGCTTGTTTGAGAACATGAAAGGTTTTTAGATGTCTGAAATACTGTAGTTATAGAGTGTGTTTTGGGAGGGACGGTAGGAAGATGAGGATAGGATTGTCCTCTGTTAATATTAAAAGATTTTCTGTTTATGTTAAAAAACACTAAGTGGCTTGGGAGTAGAGGACTTTTTTTTCCCTAAAGATTCACTTGCTTCTGTGGTCAAAGTATGAAAGCTCGCTAGACTGAAATGCAGCTGAAATTCCCAGAGATCCAAAAATACATAGAAACTGATTTCCCTTGTGAAGCAGTGCATGCTTTAGACAAAAGCACAGTGCACACAGACTTTTTTCCTTTTGATAAATGAGCATTAGGGCCAAAGTAAACATGCATGGTTGAAAAAAAAAAAATCCTCTCTAGGTTAGCTGTGAGGAAAAGGCGTTTCTCAGTGTCAGTGTTGTAAGCTGTGGCTCAGACATAATTTTAAACGTAGATAAAGTTAAAATCTTTTGTGGTAATACTAGCTTACCTGTGTTTCATGTGTCTGTGATACTAAGATATTTTTGGCTGTGTGGTGAAAGTTGGAACTCCCTGTCTGCCATATAGTCAAGGTAATACTTGAAATCTGATATGTACTGTGCTTCTTAATGGATCAAGGCGCTGGGTAAGATTTAGGCCGCCTAGAGAGCTGTCTGTAAAGCTGTTCATGAAGACAATTCATTTATAGCCTTTGTACTTACACTGGCTAGTGATTAAAGTGCCTGTGAATCTTTGTTTCACAGCAAAAGTTGATTATTAGCAGAGGTTAGGAAAGCAGGCAGACTCTATCAAAGAGGTTTTACTGTCAGCTTTTCTATTCTCTCTTCTTTCTCTACAGCACACTAAAATCTGATTTTCAGGGAGTAAATTCAGTTACTTTACTGAACTTTCAAACCTGTGATAATGTTTTGTGTTTGAGCATTGGGGTATTGTTGAAATTGTAGGTTTTTAATACTTACCTACCCTAATGCTGAAGTTTCTGTGGTTACAGCCATTTGCTAGAAGGAAGCCGTTTGAATTAAAAGTTAAAATTTTGTTTTGTAGAGAAAATTGTGACAGTTAAATCCCTGTTCTTCTGTAACGTTTGTCTGTGTTGTTTTCCTCACAGCTTGCACCGCGAGAGAAGGCAGCTATGAATTACAATCAGAAGCTGAAGGAGAAGTTCCAGTATCACCCAAAGATCAGACGCATAGCTCAACACCGTCACTTGCCTAAAAGTATATATTGCCAAATCAAGGAGCAACGTATCATGAGAGAAGCTCGTCGGCGAAAGTATGTCTTCCTCTTCTGGCTTTGTTTTCTCTTGATCTTAATGAAATGCAGCAATGTATGGGAGTGTTAGAGAGGCAGTGTGTGGGATGAGCAAGTATGAACTACTTTTAACATCTGAAGAAGTGATCCTGAACTACTAGATTGATTAACCTTTGATTATAATGAAGAAGCAGACAAATGCCAGTATCGATGAGGACTAGCTGCTTCCCAAAAGTTCACTGAAGAAATGGGAGCAAATACCATGTTGGAAGGAGCCACAATGCTTTGACATGGGCGTGACATGATGCAACATTGCAATGGAAACAGAATGGGCTGGTTTGGGTGTGTCGATGTTTTTCTGGGTTTGGTTTGGTTTTTTGTGGTGGGTTTTGGTTTGGGTTGGTGGGTTTTTTGGTTTTTTTTTAATGCCAGACTCCAGGATGAGTGTTTTCTGTCACCTGGATCATTGTCATGTTGCAATTTCTAGGAGCAGAAGGTGGTATGCTTTGCTGTAACCATTAAATTAACAGTAAAAACAAAAAGTGGTGGGATTTAGTCCTCTTTCTCAGCTGAAAGACTCTACAAATTTGAGCAGCAAATCCTATTGATGTGAAACCTAAGCAAGCTGAGCTCCCAAGAAAAGGCTTGATTTGAAACTTTTCTAAATTAACCAATTTTAAAGTTATTTTTCAAAGGGACAATCCTTCTTCTCAAAGGAGGAAGTACGTGGCTTTTGATTAATAAAAACAAAGCAATTCTTAATTTTTTTTTTTAATTGTAGGATATCTCCGTTAGTAGCTTAAGAAGGAAGCTACTATTTTTTAAATCTTTGTGCTGACTACCGAACTTCATTTTTCTGTTTTTTTGTTTCTAGGGAACTGAATCGTCGTAAGCACAGCAAACCAGGATCTGTGCCATTGGTGTCAGAGAGGAAGAAACATATTGTGGCAGTAGTGAAATAATTGTTTTCACATGTACAGAATGTCACAATGAAAGAAAATGTCGCTATTGAATGAATCCACTATACAAAATTTGATGGACATTGGTAAGACAGTGTATGGCTCCAGAAACATGGCTTTTCTTCCAAGTATACCCATGGTCTGATTCTCAAGTCATTGTCTGCTTTGGGTAGTCATAAAAATTGGCCCTGTAATCTTTTATTGCCATTATCCTGTCTGATATTACTGGCCCAATGCTGTGTATTGCAGTGGTGTTTGACCCTTTTGATATAAGCAGATAACTTGGTAGTTGGTGGAGGATATCTGTAGTTCCAATCCTATTCCTTGGTACTGTTACTACAAAAAAAGGATGAAACAGATTCAGATTTCTCAGAGGCAAAAAAATCTTTGTTCCATATAGAGTTATAAAATCAGTTGTCCTTATGCTGTTGGGGGGGGGGGGTGGGTTTTTTTTGTTTGTTTGGTTTTTTTTTTTTTTTAAACAAAGCTAATAAACTAAACAAGTGACCTTAAGGCACTGGACTAGATCTTGATTATTCCAACTGACAAATATACTGCATTATACTTATTACAGTACGATATATTATTTTGCTTTTATCCAAAAGGAATTCAACAGGGATGTCAGACGTGTAAGCGTATTTATAGTTTTGTTCTGTGATCTGAACTATTGTTACGACTTGACTGTTGAGGTTGCTAATATTAATAATGACATAGTTGAATAAATACCTTTTCTCTTTAGCTTATTTAAAACTTCTAAAATCTGGATGAAAGATGACACAAATTATATAAAACCTAGAAACTTCTTTAGGTGAGATTTATTATAAGCTTTCTATTTTAAGTTTATATAAAACAAATAAAAGCTTCACATTTCACAAGGTACCTGTAGCTCAAAGTTCTTTTACTGTTTGTCTGGGAAATGCTCTGATTCTCTTCCAGTCAGATAGACTTAACTTTATACTGAAGATGCTAAGGTGATCAGAAAACTATGCTGGAGTTCACCTAGGCCTTCTAGGCTGAAGGCTTCTCTTGCAGAAATATGAGGTGTTTAATAACCGTAAGTGTTGCTTAACATCTTCTGTACTAAAGGATTTTTTTAAGCCTTTGGACTACTATGCAGTCTGTAACTACACTCCCCCACCTCACTGAGTTTATGCACAAAAAAAGTTTATGAACTCAATTAGAATAAACTTTATAGTTTAACTTTTTCCTTTTTATTATTTTAATCTGGAAATTGAGCACTTTGGGCACTTACCTTCATACAGCATCCTGTTTAATATATCTACTAACACTAACATCCATATGCATTTCTAGTTCTTACTCTTTCACTTGACTCTTCTAGCACTGGTTGGGCAAGATTCCCGGATCATCATGGTAAAATTATGGCTGTTTGGTGATAAGAGGCCATAATGTATCTTTTACTCTCTGGATCACTTACCTTATGGGGTGATGCAGGAAGAGGAGCAGATCTGAAGAGCTGTAAGTAGGATGATGAGAAGCAGTGGAACAGATCAGGGAATAGACTGATGCTGGCTGCGTGCCTGTTGTACTAATACAGCACTCTGTGCCAAATACAGTTTATTTCCTTCCTGAAACACTGAGAAAATTGAGGGAGAATGTGTGGTCCAAAGTATGGCTTGTGACACAGCTGTAGTCAAGTCTTGCACAATTTGCAAAACCAGACTAATCTTCTGGAATGTGATTAAAAATTCTCAGCCTTATCAGTTTAGCTTGAGTTGATGTAGTTGGTTGTTGATTTGTTGAGTCATGATAACCTCTGGTGTGAACAAGCCCTGCCGCTTGGAATTTTTTAGCTTTGGTGCAGAACTCTGAATGTAAGCAGAGAGCTTTCAGCTCTGCAGTTAGTTTGGTTACAGTGTGGCATCAGTGTGGAGCTCTACTGCATGAGCCATGTCCAAAGGATCTCTTCAAAAACCTTTGTGCACTTTTGCTTTCAGACAGGCCCCCAAGTGGAGCAACTCAAAGGAGCAGGGCTGGCTAAAAGTCTTGCTAGAGGGATTGAAACACCATGCTGAAAAAAGGCATTTTAAAGTTATGAGGGTACTTGGAGGCTGTGTATATGAATTCCTTTTCCAAATTCGATGGGTGTGGTCTTGTACAGAGATCTTAGTCTTGTCATCAAGTGGGGTACCCTCTTAGCATTCCAGGAAAAAATCTGCTTTCCAAAATCAAGTCTTGCTATGACTTCTAGAAACATGCTAGTTGTAAAACCAGTGTAGGTGTGGGCTGGGGCTTTCTGGTTGGAAGTCAGTTGTTTGGAATCATAGAATCGTTTAGGTTGGAAAAGACCTTTAAGATCATCCAGTCCAACCATTAGGTGACTTTACAGCCCGTCTGAGATAAACGCGTACCCTGGGCCGTTCGTTTTCAGGGGTGTGCAAGCAGTATGCTCTGCTAAAAGGAGGAAAAACTTTGTAATCTGTGGGTGAATAACTTCGTACTTCTTACTGGCAGATTTTCTCCCTGCTTAATTACTCTCGGTTTTCCCTCATGATAATCTCGTCTTTCTTAAGCTGTTAGTTGTTCTTTGTCATCAACTTACCCCTACTTCTGGCAAGGCAATTAACAGAGATGTTAAATGGCCCTGGTCCCTCAGGGTCACCACTTGCTACTTCTTAGTTCTAGCCTGATCTTTCTGTTTCAGTGCTTAGATCTCCATCCAGTACTTGCCGCAGTGCAGCTGTGCTTAGCTTCCATTCTTCTGCTGGAAAAATAGAACAAAAAGGTGGAAGATTATTTTCTTCTATTGTCCTTTAAAATGTGTACATTGACCTGAGTTTTGTTGTTCCTGGTATCTTACATTTCCCCATTTCTAACATGTAGTTCTCTTTCTTGACCTATATTTTCCCTTTATTCTGATTTTTCTGCTTATTATTATCATGTCTTCTTGAACTGGTTATTGATTCTGTTGTTTGGAGCCTTCTCTACTATTTTCCTCATTTTGGAGTGTGATTTACAGTTAGTAATAGCAACTTCAATGTAAGAAATTTCAGGGTGTGTTTTTTGCCTTCTAATTCCAGAGCGCCCCAATCCAAAAGACTTCATTAGCTGATTTCCACTTTGTCAAAAGTTTCCCACTTGCAGTTCAAGACCCTAACTACAAGCCTATTTCTGTTTATCTTCTTAATTTAAATGGAATAAATCAGCTTATGATGCGTCAGTACAAAGTTACTTTCTACTGCTGGTTCTTCCAATCCCACCATTGTGGAATTTAACTACTAATGGATATTTATTTTTGTATTTTCAGGTTTTAAAAGCATTTGATTACCCCTCTCCTTGGAAGGGACAGGAACAGATGTACAAGCTGGACATAGGCTGGCCTAAAATTCCAGAGTACTTCACTGGTCAAACATTTTGTGTTGCTGTTGACTCTCTTCATGGTTTGGTCTATGTGGGACAAGTGAGTGAGAATACTACGTTTCTCTCCTTGTTGACCTAGTGTATTTTTTCCTTTAAAGTGTCTGGTTTAGATTAAGATATATATGTGTGTGTGTGTATATGAATCATTATTGTATCAAAATCAGTGAAAATATAAGTATAGACATTTCTGCTATATCCATTTTTTAAAGCAGTTCTGGGACCATATTTGCTTGTCCTTTTAAAAGTATTAAGTTTCTGTGATTATGAATGCATGCTCCAACGTCACTGAGTTATAGTAGCTTCTTCTCTAACTGTAAGGTAAACTGTGTTTCTGGGGCAACTGACTAGTCCCCTTCCACTCTTTCAGCCTCTGTCCCATGAAATCAAAAACACGCAGCTCTTTCAGCCAGTTACAGTAATTGGGGTTCAGTTACTTGCTTTACCCAGTTCCGTGCATTGGTATCTCTAGGTCACGGATAAGACATTCTCTCCGTGGAAAGTGGTGGGATTTAACTATAAAGCACAGTATGAGTACTTGAGTGCCATGCAGCTAATAAGTACAGTTACAGTTTTTCATGCTTGTGTTATGCTTGGCATATTTTTTAGCAAGAACATAAAAACATGGTTGAAAAGGAAGACCAAGATAGGTGCAGGAGCTTGGCTGCTCTGAAAATTGGGCTTTATGTCATTTAAGTTGAAAGTTTAGAATGAGTGGAAGGTTTTGCATGCTAAACTTAGACCCTTCTCTCCATCTTCTAGCTGGAAAAAATTAGATCTAGCAGGCAGTCTCAGGAGACTCTTATGATTCTTGAAACGTAAAAATCTTACAAAGAGGAATTTTCAAAAATATGATTACTTGCTTAATATGTTTTCTTAATAAACCTTTTTTTGCCTTTTCAGAGGGGAGAGAATGTACCAAAGGTACTTGTATTCTCAGAGGAAGGTTATTTTCTTTACTCCTGGAATAATACAGTTGAAATGCCTCATGGTATCTTTGTACTGAACACCGCAACAGATAGTTCAGTATGGATCACAGACGTTGGAACAGGTACGCATGGTGGTGATATGAGAAGTATTAGGTAGGGAAGGAAATGCTAATATTGCAGATACTACTTTAAACAACTCATTTGTGTAAGTGTCTCAAACAATTCTGAGACAGATTTGTGCTTTTCTTGCCATGAACTAACTTCTCAGGTGCTGCACAAAATACTCTGAAGGTTCTTGAGTTGTGCTGTGTGTCTGCTTCTTAACTTAGTAAGCAAGTTTGGTTTGGTTTTGTTTGTTTTTTCCCAGGAGAAGTATTAGGGGGGAAAAAAGAATCTTCTGGCTAGACTTATCTTCTGTCCTAGGTTTGGTGGCCCTAATACAATGGATGAATATTGTTGTAGCCTATGGATTTACTGACCCACAGTCATATTCTCCCTATAGAATTTTGTCTGTTTGATTTATTAATATCACTTGTGAGTATCAGGAGATTTTCTTTTTTAATCTTTGTAATGAGTTGTAATACTTGCATTTTGTTTTAAGATGGTTTTGCACTTTTTTTTTCTTAATTCAGGCAAATATGGGCACACCGTGAAACAGTATAGCCCTTCGGGTAAACTTATGCAGATCTTGGGCACACCAGGTAATGCTGGTTCAAGTTTGATTCCCCTACAATTTGATCAACCAGCAGAGGTCTTTGTAGAGGAAAGTGGAGATATGTACGTTGTGGATGGAGACGGAGGAATGAATAACAGATTGCTCAAACTATCCGACGGTATGTAAAAATGAACTTCCACAGTAATTGACCATTGAAAATTGAATTTTAAATAACACGGCTTGAGAATACTTTTAAGTGAGGACTAGGTAGTGCTGCCATTTAACATTAGACTTTGTTGGATCAGGTCTGTTTTACTGCTTGTCACTTTACGAGAAATCTCCTAATAGTTTATGACAAGAGGCTGAGAGAATGAGTTTGTTCAGTCTTCAAGAGAGAAGGCTAAGGGAGGATTCTTATCGCTGTCTTCAAGTCAATAATGGGAGGGTATAGAGAAGACAGAGCCACATGTTTCTTGGAGATGCACAGTGAAGAATGAGGAACACTGAGCAAAAGATGCAAGAGAGGGGAATTCCAGTTTGATTTTTGGAGGAAAAGATTCACAGTGAGGGTGATCAGACAGTGAACAGTTTGCCTAGAGAGGGTGTGCTGTCTCCACTCTTGAAGATGCTTAAAACTTGATGAGTTACGAACAACCTGATTCAGAGTTGGATTTGTTATCAAGGGTAGTCCTGCTTTGAGAAGCAAGTTGGACCCGATGGTGTCCTGTCAGCCTGACCTCGGTGCCGGGAAAGATTATGGAGTGGTTCATACTGAGTGAACTCAACAGGCAAATGCAGGTCAACCAGGGGATCAGGCCCAGGCAGCATGGGTTCATGAAAGGCAGGTCCTGCTTGACCAACCTGATCTCCTTTTATGAGCTGGTGACCCGCCTGGTGGATGAAGGAAAGGCTGTGGACGTCATCAACCTGGACTTTAGTAAAGCCTTTGACACTGTTTCCCATAGCATTCTCCTTGGGAAGCTGGCAGCTCATGGCTTGGACGGGCGTAGTCTTCACTGGGTAAAAAACTGGTTGGGTGGCTGAGCCCAGAGAGTTGTGGTGAAAGGAGTTAAGTCCAGTTGGCAGCCGGTTACAGGCGGTGTTCCCCAGCGCTCTGTTTTGGGGCCAGTCTTGTTTAAT